GGTGCGGTATCAGCTGTTGAGCAAGTCCCAGTGCTGTATCTGGTGTTTGTAACAACACGCTATTATCCAAGTCATCTTGAAAACATTCTTCTTCGAAACGTTGGCTGTACATTACATGTTTTTTTCTCTGGCCAGAAGTTCGATGGCAAATCCTCCCTCTTCAAGTTGAAGATTTGACAACAAACCCATGGTGGATCATGAATCGGAAAGGTTAAATAACTTTTTTTTTTCACTTGATGTATTGCAACATCCAACTGCCGTGCACATGGACATTGTCAGTTTATCCTTAGCTCTCGCGAATTTAAATGAAGTCCTCTGGAAATCTTAAATAATTGTTATTGATTGCAGATGTGTCATGTTGTTCCTATTGACTTTCTCTGTAAAGCGGGTAGAATGGCATTAGGCTTACCGCACCATGATGTGACTGCCGGGAGATGTCAGGAGTAAGGTGTTACTATATTTGGGCAAAAATGGCCGGTCCCGGACTCTGTGATCATGACGAAAATGATTGTTATTGTTTTTTTATCGAATAAAGCTAAATTCATTAAATCACAGCAAATGTATTAGTTTTAGGTATAAATAATGATCCAGTGATTATTCCTTGCTGACTGAACTTTTCCTTTTAGGCCAGGCAGTCCTGTCTCTAAATTCTACCAAATAATCCTGTGTGTGACCCACTACCTGCTAATATTTCTTTGATGAAGAAAGGTATTTTTTGTTGTATAATTTTAGCTTTAAATAATCTCCTCTGGTTTCAATACTCGATGCAGTGAATAATGACATGCTCTACAGTTTTTGTCCATCCATCCATTTTCTATCACTCTTATACCAAGCGGGTTAGGGCGAGGGTCGTTGGTGCCTATCTCCAGCTGTCTATGGGTGAGAGGCGGGGTACACATGGGACAGGTTGCCAGTCCATCACAGAGCAACACAGAGACAAACAACCATTCAAGCACACATAACAAAAAATTAGGGAAGCTAATTAACCTAACAGTAATGTTTTTGGACTGTGGGAGGAAGCCAAGAGTACCCGGAGAGAACACACGCACGTTCAGGGAGAACATGCAATCTCCACACAGGAAGACCCTGGGCTGGGAATCGAACCAGGAAGCTTCTTGCTGCAAGGCAGCAGTGCTACCCACTGCCAGCTGAGCAGCCCTCTACAGTTTTAATTCTCCACAATAGTGAAACTTCCTGTTTCCAAAAATATATAAGGTAGACTTGGGTCAGTGAGCTGTTCCCACTGCTACTAAAATCCAATTGTTCCCTGGTTTAAATGGGATTTCGAACATTGGGAAAGGGGTATAAGTTAAGAAACCCCTTATTAACTATTTTTATTTCACATAGGTAATACAAACCATTCTGTTAAAGTTGCAATTGTTATGCCACTGATTGTTCTTAAATATTAGGTATAATGTGAGCAAATTTTTTTTTGGTCTATTAAAGTAGACCCGTAATTTATCATTACAGGCTACAAAAGTTAAACTCAACAGCATGCATTGAGTCACCTGTTGATATAGCAGGCTTATAAGGTGCGTGCAGGGTTGCTGAAGGAATTTAAAATGAAGGTCCACTGAAACATTTCTGTAAAAGAACAGAAATATTTACAAAATGTGGTGTATATAAAAAATTTTTAAAAGCACAAGACTCAACTTATTTATAGCCTGCCGCAGCTTTCAATAAGCATAATACCTCTACATCATCAACAACAAGGGAAACCCCAAGACACTATATTACAAAAATATACATACATACATATATATATATATATATTCTATTCTATATATTATATATTATATAGAAAAGAATAGGGTAGAACTAAATACAATAGAAAATCCTTTTATTGGGGATTTTCTGGTGTTTACAGCAGCACTAACATAATAGAAAAAAATGGTAACACAAATATGGACCTTAGAAAAATGTACAAGAATAACATAATAAAAAAGGACTAACAATGAAGGACTAAAAATACTTCTCTGTGACAAAAATCTGATTATTTGACCGCAAATATTTTTATATGCGTTCTAAGCCAATCGGTACGCCGCAGCCAATCAGAATCGAGTTTCACAGAAGTTTTCGAAAATTTAAAAAATGATTGACAGATTAATGAACCAACTGCCTCGCCACAGTTTCCTGGATTGACCAATAGCGTGTTATAAGGGCGGGACTAACAGTTTTCACTTGAAGAAGCGCTAATAGACCACCTGCCTGCTCCAAGTCCAGAAGCTTAACGGGTTTATTTCGCATCCCTGTTGCCTTTAAAGTCACCAGAGGTAATTTAATATAAATTTTTTTGTTTGTTGATGAAATTTGTGTTGATGCTCAAACCCCCACCTTCGCACTAAGCGAGAAGTTAGCCTCCGAATCGGAATATTTAGCTTCACTTTTTTTTTAAGAGTGCAGTACGTTTGAAAAGTTGCAAGAAGTAATGTAATATTCATATTTTTGTCGATGAACTGTTGAAAGCTTATATCAATTGTCGCCTAGACGTATTTTCTAGGGGTTATGGGCGCGTAGAGGCATTTTCTCTTTGACACGTGCCTCCATAGCTAGCAGAAAAAAAACGACCCCCCCCCCCCCAAAAAAAAAAAAAAAAAAAAAAAGTATATAACTTTTTTACTTAAACAATATGTACTACTTTTACTAGATAATGTATGGAAAACAATGTTTTATATTTGAATTTACTGTCTCATTTAAAGAAGCAGTCCTACTTCGGCGGCGCCCTTATGTCTGAGTAATGAATGGTGGGATTAGCAAACCAATTCAGTGGAGCTCCTTAGAATTAGATGAACTGTAGTACCCTCCCTATTAGATATGTGTTAATTGTGATAATTTAAGATACATTTTAAGGCCGGTAAACGGCGGTTTTATGCTTAGACCCACACTCTTGCTCGAGGTGAGAAGTTAGCCTCTGAATCGAAATATTAAGTTTAACTTTTTTTTCATAGTCCAGTACGTTTTAAAGTTGCTAGAAGTAATGTAATATATAATTGTTTGTTGATAAACTGTTGTAAGTTTATATCAGTTCTCGCCTAGATGTATTTTTGAGGGTTTAAGGGCGTGTAGAGGCATTTTCTTTAACACATGCTTCCATAGCTAACAGAAAAAAACGCTCCACCTCCTTCTTTAAACTACAAAAAAAATATATTATTATTCATAAGAGATGTATTAAATTGACTAGATAATGGATGGACAACACAGTTTTAGATTTGAACTTATTGTCTCATTTAACCAAGTAGTCCTACTAATTAATGTTGGTATTAGCAGAACAGATTTGTCAGTTGAGGTACTTGGGATTATTTGTACTGAAGTACACTTTCCATTACACATGTGTTAAGTGTAATAAATCCTGATGAATTTAAAGAACAATAAACGGTGGTTTTATGCTCAAACCCCCACTCTTGTAGGAAGCGAGAAGTTAGCCTCTGAATTGGGATTTTTTTTTTTATACCATTTTGGTTTCTTTTCTGCTCCAATTCAAAAACTAGCCTACTGAAACTCACCGGCTCTAGAAGAAATATTTTTATAGTAAAAGCTGAAATGCTAAAAAAGACATATTTTAAAATTTTATATATATATATTCACTTGAGTTTTCCACAAAAAAACCCTCAAAATACCAGTGTTAATATGCTTTAGTAGTAGGTCTAAAATTACATGAACTATACGTACTTAAAAGCAATTGCACCTATGTTTTTAAAAATTTTCTGCAATATCTATAAGGAAAAAAATGAAATATGTTTTATGACATTACTCAGAGTTCCTACAGATCCTTAAAAAGTCGATTCAGATTAGCTAGCCGAATGAATAGAAGGGGTAGAGCGTAGCCGCCTGTGGCTCGGGCTGCCTGTCACAACTCCAGTCCGGCGCGTGGGTGACGTCATACACACTCCGCTTTGTTTAAAAAATATATAAATAAATATAACAAAAATATAACCGTGGATGTCTGGAGGACAGTGATTCGCCTACATGTTATGAATGCTGGCGTACCATAAAGAACAAATTATGAACAGTTTAGTTTGTGCCCAAAGGAAGACGTTACTTGGATTACAAAACCAAAAATCTTCGGAACAGCTCCAAATGACACAAAACTCATATGGGTGAGTAGAACATGATCTAATAATGTGAAATCAAGGGGCCAATGTAAAAAAAAAACAAAAAAAAACGGTGTTTCCCTTTAAAAGGCATTGGATTCTTCAATATAAAATCAAGGCCTTAATTGGTATTAAAATATCTTAAATCAGTCTTTCTTAGGTCTTAAAATTGTTACCTTATCATAAATAGGATTTTATTTTTGTAATCCATATCAAACAATAAAATAATTTACAATATTTTTCTTACATTTACCGAACCGCTCAATTTAACTATTATTGGTTCTGTCCCGATAGCGGAAACAATAAAAACGATGTTGTCTCTGCAACGCTTCCACAGCATCTCTCATATCAACAACAGCGCCTGTAGAACCAAATCTCTGGATAATGTTTGGCCGTACGCTGACAATAAAATTAGAGGAATTGAGAAGGGAACAAAGAAGCTAGTGAATTCAGAATTCAGTTCAGTAGTTGCCCCAATCTAGCACTAAAATGGTGGTATCGATATCAGCGACTACCAACAAATAGGGCACCGACACCATTTTAAGAGTCAAAAGTTTATCAAACTATTGTCACCCATTCCTGGTAGGCAATAAAAAGTTGTACTGGATTCCCTTTGTATTAGTCTTTTTCCTGTTTCACAAAGGAAGGCAGCAGCTTGACAAAGCCATGATGGCGATTATTTTACATCTAAGTAGTATGCAGTTCTTCATATACACACACACATCAATTTCAAACAGATGGTATTAGCCGATACTGCACAGCCAGGTATCGCTATCGGGGCAAAAAAAATGGCATCAGTGCAACACTAGTTACAAATATATCTGTTATTTGTGTGTTTTTAGCTTTCTTCCTATATGGAAAGGTTTTCAAAATTTGAAATGCATCTACTGGGCCGAAAATGAATGGTTTATGTTTCAGGGTCGTAATCACAGCGATCTGCATCAGTAGCGCCGTGTCTGTCAACCTGCCAGCTTCCAGATCAACTTTTCTGATTGGTTGATGTGGAACATCGAACAGCAAAAGTTACATTTTTCCAACTCCAGCAACTGCTTTCGCAGCGCGTCAAATGCTCAGAAATTTGTGAGGTGCTGCTTCAGCTATTCAGACACGCTGCTCAAAATGCACTACGGGACCTTTTGCTGCGCCTTGATGCACATCAACCATTGACTTTGCATGTAAACTTGCTGCTTCTGCTGCCTCTGCTGCTTTAGGTGTGAACGTAGCATTAGATCCATCAGTATTGTCACACATTATAACCATATGATTTATTGGCTCATATGATTTCTTAAGGGAAAGTTACTGAATTTGTGGACACTTTTTTTTTATTTTTAGTTATTGAACATTAGCATAGCCCCTTCATTGAGTGTTTTGGCTTATTCTGTGTGTAAAGTTTGGGTGGTAGATAAAAAAAAAAAAAAAGAATAAGTATTTAAAATATTGTTTTGTTGAAAACCAAATGTGGGAAGGTCTTATATGTAATTTAACATGGATTAAAGTTTTTTTTTTTTTTTTTTTAATCTTTTTGGCTAATTGCATCTTTCTCTAGTTTTCTAAATTATCTGTCTGAAACTAACGTGGTTGAGTTTCCAACATGCCAAGCGGTCTTCCTTACCATCCATAGCAGTAAATACCAGGTAGTTATTAATTGCCATGTCCTCAGCTTGTGACATTAATACAAAATATAATGTAAGGTTTGGGGTTGCCCAGTGGTTCTCCTAGTACAGAGAAAATTATTGTGGGGAAAAATAAACACTCAAGTTTTTTTTATTCAACATCCATTAAAAACTTGCTATATTCTTTATCAGATTGATGCAACTATAATGCTTAGCTTCTGTGTTTTGTATACATACCTGACATCCATCTGCTCTTGGTATCTGATACTTTGATCGCTGCCGAATCGTCGACTGTAAATCACAGATCCATGAAGCATGCCTTCTCCAGGTGTTCCTTGGTTGCTAAATTGTCACAATTGGGTATTCCTGTGTATTTGGGTATGTCCTGTGTGTTTGCCTCCTTCTCCGCAAACACAAGGACAGTATTGTTTTTTTTTTATTTTTTATATTAAATAGTAACGCAAGTCTCACCAGACCCAGGGATTATCCGTAAATACTTACAGGGATGGTAACACCTGGCTTATAAACCAAAGGTCTTGATTTTTCTTTGTCTGCTGAGAGTGCTCTCAACCCTCTGTGGTTTGGAGCTTCAACTTGTTGGGCATTTTGCGATGACTGAGTGCTCTGGGAGGCTGTGCTCCTGCTGTGCTTTTTTTTTTTTTTTTCAGTGCCGTCTTGGCCTTTCCAACTGAGTTGTACCTGAAATGTCCCACTTCTTGTTTAGTCCTGTGGTGTGGCAATTCAGGCTTACCTGATAGAGTACGAGACCCTGGACAAACAATTGTCTTCAAAAAGCTAGTCAGTCACACTGCTTCTAATCCATAAGAAAGCAAATCCAAACATGCAAGAATAAGACACATTTTGTGCATTAGCTAATTACCAGGCAGCATTCTGTGCAATGCAGCAGGGTTGTGTTAAATCATAGGTTTTCCAATTCTGAAACGATTATCATATTAACCGACTGATTCAAAAACCAAAGATTAATTTAAAAAAATGCATTTTTCCTGTCTTGAATAACTTTAACTTTAATACTTTAATAATTTCCTCTAAAACTTAAGTATAATTCTAGTATTAATAGGATGCTTAAAAATGTTTTAAAATAACAGCCCTCCAATTTGGGATCAGACCAAATTGGATAAAAGGAATCGGTAAGTGGGTTTCAGTGACCTGCTGAAAGATCCTGTGGCATCTCTCTAGGATCTTATAAAGACCATTAATGCTCCAAATAGCTGCAATGTGGCTTAATTACAGCAACTCTGCAAAGATGAGTGAGTCAAACTTCCTCCAATGTGCTGTAAAATACTCACTGCAGGTTATTGCTGTTCAGTTGCAGATTTTGTCTCAAAGAGTCACTCAACCAGTTATTGGATTTAGGGGACAAATAATTTTTTCACTCCGGGCCAAATATTTAGGTTTTGAACGTTTAAATTTGGTTTGCTTTTTTGTGCTAACTTGTCGTCTTTTACAATTATTCAAGTTTATTTGATGTTCTTAAGATAAACTGGTAAGAGGGGCCAAAAATGTTGATATCATGGAGATGAAATAAAAAAAAAAGACATGTTTTAAATTGATGCTATTTAATTGACTCACCAATTTATTGGGTGGCAATATAATTCTGCGAAACTGTCCTCAATTGTCAGAAATGTTGGCAGATGCCTATCACTGCTCATCTTGTTTATTTAAAGAATCCTGGTTGAATATTTCCACTTTTCTTACACTAAATGCCCCAACAAGCATTGCGTTCTTATAATTGAAAAGTGAACTCGCTATATAAACCAGGCTAAATAAGGAGAAACCTTTATGAGAATACACACAGTGATGCAAATTAAGAATTAATATAATTTATTAAAGGCATTATGGAGGATGTTGTTTTTCTTGGGTCATGTACCTCCTAATTGTCAATCATTCTGGTGATATGTCTATGTAAGGCCCATCTATGTGCTCGTCCCCATTTTCACTGACCGGTGAGGAGTCTGACATAGTGGAAAAATTGCAAGTCTTCTTTTGGAAAGTAAGCTTGTATGAATGATGCAAACAGCAACTTTTAAATGGAGCGTGCACAAGGAGAAATGGGCTTGTGCACGCTCTCGCACGGGGTTAATGGGACAGGTCTTTTTAAAACTTTGCGAAAATCCTCCACTATACCTTTATTTGTATATAATACAAATTTAGATGAATGACTAACTATTGGCCACAAAACATGCAAAGTAACAACCGTGTTGAAACTCTGCATTTACATAAAGAGCACAGCAGCGATATAAAGGTCAGTAGTCCAGCTCATTCTTGCCATGTAGTATTCAGAAACAGAATTCAAGGTTTGAAACCTTTGGCTCACCAAGACGATTCCACCAGAGAAAACCCCATCAGGGAATTACATATTTAATACATTTGATAATTTACTTACCTTTAAATGGTGAGAAAATGCTTTCTTGTATACTTGGATAACACCAGCTGGCTTTCTTGTTCTTTAATTTCTTCTGCTATTCATGCCCCAAACTACCCTGGTTTATAGATACTGAACCCCACCTTAAAGGAATAGTACACCCAAAACATGATTAGCCTTCATTTTCTACTCACCCCCATGCTGAACAACACCCTGGAGTACTTTTTTGATATCTCAAATGCATCTGGAGATCTGGGAGGCTTCTTGCTGTTTTTAGAATGTTTTTAGAGCATAAACAGTAGTGTATAGGATTTTCTGAAAGCGCGTTCACGACGCTACGGAAACCACGCAGACCAAACCAGACGAAAGTGCGCATTCAGCTCAGCAAAGAACTCATGCTCTTCCTCAACACTGAAGTCCTCAGACATTTTTCTTTCGTTGTTTCTTTCTTTGCACAGGTAAACAGCACATTTCTTCTTCTACGCTTGCATTATTGGCAGAGCAGACGCTGAATGCGCACTTTCATCTGGTTTGGTCTGCCGGCTTCCGTATCCTATACACTACTGTTTATGCTCTAAAAACATTCTAAATGACTTCGTTTCGAGTAAATTCTGGATGCTACCCACTCAGGACACTTGGAATACATTGGAAGAGCAGTATGGAGGAATATTGACACGTTTTTTGTGGACTTTTATGGACCTTTCTGTCTCGGGCACCATAGACCTCCATTATTTGAATGTCAGCAGACAGCAAGAAGCCTCCCAGATCTCCAGATGCATTTTAGATATCAAAAAAGTACTCCAGGATGTTGTTCAGCATGGGGGTGAGTAGAAAATGAAGGCTAATCATGTTTTGGGTGTACTATTCCTTTAAGGTTTTTACTGGATTTGGGCATGCTTTGGGAAAAGTGTTTAACAAAAGAATCAAAACATTTCACCTTCCAAGTTTCTTCCAGCTGGAAAAAAAACCTTGGAAGAAACTTTTAACCCTGGTAGAAATAGACAATATTGTGACCCCTTCTGTTCTTCATACTGCCACTACTTTGGTCAATGGGTTTGTCGTTCACTTTTTGGTTTATTTAGATATTTGCTTAAAGTTTTGCATAAATTTGCCTCTTTAGCCTGCATTAAACACTTACCTTGCATGATTACAGAAACTTGCCTGAAAGAAATGGATCCAAGAAAAACCCCTGATCCAAGTGGCAGGACCGGCTTCCAAATGCTGGGTCGAGGAAGAGGTTTGCAGCCTGAGGAAATGGGCAGGGGACGTAGTAGAGGGCTGCTACTTGCTCCAGAAGGGCCAGGATTGGGACGAGCAAGGGGATTCCTCTTTCCTAGTGCTGACCCTGTAAGAGGAGCAGAATTCCAGGCAGGCAGAGGAGTGCTGGTGCAGCCTGATGAGAGAGGGGTTGGCCATGCCAGAGGCCATCTGCTCCCAGGAGCTGAGCGGGTGGTTGGACTGAGCAGAGGTGCTGTCCTGCCTAGACTGGAGGAACAACAAGGGCAGAAACCTCCCCTAGAAACACCATCAGTCCCAACAGAGGACACACCTGCTTCTCTGGGAAAAGAGGTTTGAAAATTTTAGAATAACATGTTTGTTTTTTATAATGTTGCATTTGCTTTCACTGTAATCAAAGTCTGATTCTGCTCACAGGTGTCACCCTGTGGTGAAAGATCATCACTTCTCTCCATGTTTAGAGGAATGGGTGTGACTTCTTGGGGAAGAGGAACCCCAGCAGTGGGTCAGTACTATAACCCTCTACCATACCTGTCTGACATGAACAGAAGAGGCTTGTATGACCTGCAGGGGTTCTCAAAACTTTCATCCCACGACCCCCAAAGTAACGGTGCAAGTGACTTGTGACCCCAGTCACTTGTTTTGTTTTGTTGACAACACAAAACAATACAACGGCCATAACATTATTCTACAGTAATTTACTCATTACTTTAATTTAAACTCCACCTCATCTAATGAGGTGGATGTGCAATATGTTTGGAGCAAAGCAAGTCCAATCTTGGTTTAATGTTTGAGACGACTTCTCTGAGAACGTCCTACGCATTCAATCGCAATATGTATTTATTTTTAAGTCTTTTCGCACAAATGGGTAGTGCCAAACGGCATCAGCACATCAAGTCGCCCTGGATAGCTGCATTTATTCCCTCTCAACTGAAGTGCAAAACTCAGCCAGTATCTTAGGATTAAACACTGTCTTCAAGGTTCAGTCGCTATTTATTTATCTATGGAAATCAACATTTGCCCCCCCCCCACTTCGGGAATCACTGACCTAATGTACTTAGTAATGTAAATGTCCGTATAACCCTTGCTGGTTTAACTCTCTAATGTAAAAGTACATAAAGTTTACATAAGCCAGAAAGGGTTTCCGTACACCACCAAACTCCTGAACTAGTTCATGTGTAAAATAACCTTAAGTCCTTTTTGTGCAGGAATAGGCGCATCTGGAGATGTTGGAGATGTGGAACAAGGTGCCCCTTTTGAAACCATCAGCCCCCTGGGCAGAGGAAGAAGGTAGTTTTTCATTTCTTCTGTAATATCTAAGCTGTTGATGTATAAAAATGTGTAACTTTTAAGAAGAGAGGCAATAATATTGACTGTATTCATCAGCACAGCCACACTACAGTGTAGTTGGCATGACTGTGAGGTTCGATTAAGACTTGATTTAAAGGTTTTTACGGCTTGTTGTGAGTGGTTTTACTCTAGTTCACGTTTATTTTATCAGCCAAAACTTAATAGGACTAGATAAAATCTAGCAACTTCAGATGAAATATTAATCCATTGGTTTTAGGAAATCTGAAGCATAATTAACCTTTTTAGCTGCAGATATGAAATGTACATTCTCTTGTGCTGGCATCTTAGACTTAGATTTATTTGTCATTTTGTTTAAACAAGTGTAAAAAAAAAAAAAAAAAAAAATACATTTTGTTTAGAACAGCTCTCTAGACAATTCAATTTTTTTTTCTTTAAGTGCAGCCTTGAAAAATGTAAAAAAATAAATAAAATAAAAACAGTAATATAAACATATGACTGTAAATTTACAGTTCTAACCTTTAGGTTTTTTTTATAATGATAAAATATAATTATAATAAAATAACCTTATAATACTCTGTATAATAATAATCTAATAATAAAATAATCTTGTGACTCTTGTTAAATTGAAATAGAAAATCCCTTTATTGTCCTACAACTGGGAAATTCTGATGTTTACCGCAGCTAAAAGTTTATAGAAAAAAACAGTCACACAAATGTGGTCCTTAGAAAAAAGAATAAGAAAAACAGTAATTGTTGTTGTAGCATTTGGTTTTTCTCAGTGAATTTCATTGCAAGGCAAATATAAGGATGCTTGTCAACATTAGATAAGGTCTGCTTTACCTTTTTCTTCATAAAACATATTAGTAGTGCTGTCTGCTGTGGTGCTAAATTAATTTTCTCCTTTCTCCTAGTTTCTCTCTTCAGATGAACGTAGGACTTGGAAGGGCAGCTCTCCCACAGCTTGGAGTGGGAAGAGGGCGAGCTTTGCTTCCCTCTTTGCCGCCAGGTCAGATTAAGCCAATTTCTTCGACATCTCATCCCGAAACGGCAGTTCCGACTCAGCTTCCTGCATCAGGTAATCCATTTTTTTTTAAATGATGCACTCGCATTGAATGCGTCTATGGTAGTCATGCACCAAGGGACAGCATGGGGTCCTGTGTTTAATTTGAACCCTCAGATCTGTCTGTATTCACTGCATCATGAACGTACAGGCGGCCACGCCCACAGCCTGGGCCCACGCGCATCCCCCACGAACTGGCCGCGAGCGCTGCAGAACCCCCCCCCAAAACGCCCCCTAGGCCAAAAACGCTGCCCCACCACACCAAGAGTGATGCCAACAGCGCGCAAAGCAACACACCGCGCACAGAAACAACCCAAGAGCAGAAAAGCCGCTTGCCGCCTGACCGCAAGAAGAGCAGACCGCACAATCGCACCCAAGCAGCCATACCCGCCGCGTTTAGCGGGAACAAAGCAGCTCCACCATGCCTCCCAAGTGGGAAAACCCACCGGAAAACCCAATCAGCACAGCCAGCCCCCCAACACCTCCCCCGCCGGAGCGGCCAAGACCCCCACACACCAGCGGCGTGCCGCCAGCAGGACCCCCACCCAGCAGGCCCGCCCGCCCCCCGAGAAAACAGACATGCCAATCCCCCCCAAAGAAGAAGAAGAAGAAGAAAAAAAATACAAAAAAAAAACACTGCCAAGCAGAAAGGCCACCACAATGCGACAGTGGACACCAGACACCGAACCGATACCACAAAACCGGCATCAGGAAAAGGCATCGCCCAGGAAGCGAAGGCACCGGCACCGAAAATCCCCGAACAACACCCAGCTCCACCCCGAAGTGAATCCAGTCCTGGGCCCCAGGGATCCGAGGCCCCAGGGGCGCCCGAACCCCAGACAGGAGCCCCAGCAAGGCGGGGGCCCGCGGAGAGGCTGCCAGGAATGAGCCAGCAGCCACCCAGGCGTCCGCCCCCAGACCCCGAGCTCCACCAGTGCACCGGCGAGCCCCGACGCCAGCCAGCGGAGGGAGAGCAGGACGGGGGGAATGGGTTCCGCACTTAACGGAGACTTGAGATGTATTTGGGAAAGGGTGCAGCTGAGACCCCAATCTGGGGGAGAGAAAAAAAACACTCAAAATCTCAATAATGCCTTCCCTCCCTAGTGCCCCCACTTGCACCATAGAAAAAAAAACACGGACACACATTCCCACATAACACTCACATCCAATAATACCAGGACCAAAGACCCGGCGGCACTGGTGGTTGGTCCCGTGACTATCGGATGACCCAATAAGTGAACCTAAAATCCGGATGGGGGATTTCTAAGAGCATTAAAAACTCTATTCAGTCCTGGATAAGCCTTGTTGCACTTCTGGTTTTGATGTGCACAAATAGTTAAGTAGTTGGGTGTCTTGTTGTTTCGCCCCCAAATAATATATAATACTTTAATTTCCCTAAATGTATTTATTATGTAATCATTTGTTTGATATCAAAGTACCCAGAGGAGTTTATCCAACTGCTCAAACGACTGAGGACTTGGCTGCACCTTCAAGTAGAGCCCAACCAAAGGAGCTGATGATGGAGGCAGTGAGGTGAATGATTCTGTTGTGGCCTTTTACATCAGTCTTGTCAATGACTTGTTTTTGCTCTGGTTCATATTATTTCGACATGGTCCTTTATTTCCTTCAGCATTTTCTTCATTTAAAATATTTTTAAATCATGTGTTCCAAAATAGTAGTTCATTACACATACATATTCTTTATACTTAAAGTGAAAACACTTGCATTAGTTCATGCAGCTAAGAACTAATACTAAATTATGTACATTTTGCATGTACCTGAAACGTAAAAGTCATTTCATCAATATCTGTCCTTTCCCCTTCATATAAATGTGAGGTTTTCTGTTTAAGGCCACTTGTGGTAAATAGTATGGTTTTAATTATGTCACTATCTTCTCAGTGAACAACTAAGAAAAGCTGGGACCAAAGGATCTCCCATAAATATTCGGTCGAACCACATCAGAGTTTCATGCAAGTATGAAGCTGTGTATCAGTACCACGTCACATTCACGTAAGTACAACAAAGAATAATGAAAACAATTCATTTCAGGCATTGTTTCTGTCCCAAAAGTGTTGATATAATTAGCTAGTAGCTGCAAGCAGGAAGGTTTTATTAGTAGCTGCTTCTGTTTATCCATTTAAATTCTCCCCCGCAGGCCAAATGTTGAATCTATGGCAATGCGCTTCGGCATGATGAAGGATCATCGCTCAATCACAGGAGAAGTGATGGCTTTTGATGGCTCCATTCTCTACCTTCCAGTTAAACTGAAAGAAGTAAGTTTTGTAATGATTGTGTTGCTCCTTATAGCTAGAGAGTAGCCCTAAGGCCTTTATGCGCATAAATGCATCCAGCTTTGGCAGTTGGAAGAAATCTTGAACCTTGGCAGTAATTAAACTTTTTTTAAGCACACTCATAAATAAAGTTAAAGTGGTTCCAGTGCTGTACCAGGAAAAATTACTTTACAGAAGTAATTATTATTTATATATTTTACATGTGAAAACAAATCAAATTCTAGGTGCAGTTTCCAAATCATTTTAGTTGTAACATTGCAAATCATGATTGGTTCTGCAATTGCTTGCATTGCCCCTATTCTCCAATAGCTTGGCATAGTCAATTTGAAAACATGCATGGCTGCAGCCAGCCTTTATTAATTATAAATCTGGTTGCGTGTTAAACATTTCTTTACATTTTTTTGTTTTGTGTGCATATTCAGTTTGTACATGAGACCTCTTGAGAATTCAACATTTTTTTTTTCTTTTTAAGTCCTGCCTTTTCAGTCTCCCTTAAAGTTGGTTTGATTTGTTATCCATCCTTTTTTCCCTTAACGGTTCCTATTTAAATTTGATGACATACAGGAGGTTGTTCTCAAAAGCTTGAGACGGACTGATAACGAGGAAATACAAATCAAAATCAAGATGACAAAGATTCTGCCCCCGAGCTGCGATCTCTGTCTCCCGTTCTACAATGTGGTTTTCAGAAGGTATGTCACAGATTTAAACTTCCTGGCAACAATCTTTCTTTGCTAACACCAAATGTGGGGAAATAGAAACTGCTCTAGACATTAATACTAATTAGTAGGTGATTTTATATCCATATAGAATTTATCATAAAATGATTTATAATGCCAGCATTTGACTTTTGTTTTTCTCTTTAAAGGGTGATGAAAGTCATTGGGCTGAGGCAGGTGGCCCGAAATCATTATGACCCAGAGAACGCCGTTGTTCTTGAAAAACATCGGTTAGTAGAGTTAGTTCCCCCTCAGAGAGAATGATTCTAGTATATCCAACTTTTTTTTCTTTTTTTTGTAATGTAGGCTTCAAGTATGGCCAGGGTATGCTACTGCTATTAAACACACAGATGGAGGTCTGTACTTGTCTGTGGACGTGACTCACAAGGTGCTGCAAAACGACTCTGTGCTGGATGTCATGTAAGTTTGAACACAAGAATTAAGAGCCGTTTACAGGGACCTTTAGGTCCAAAGTCACAGGGAATCAGTTTTTTATTTTTTTTTTTTATTTTGAGAATAGGAAAGTCAGATTTTTTTTTTTTTAATCTTAGGAACAAATGTTCTAAAAGATATCAGAAATGTGTCAATTTATCATAAACTGTTGTTCCAGCTTTGGGTATTAAGAAAAACCTCACTATGTGGCCACTGTATTAAGTTATAATAAAGGAAAGGTTCAGTTTGTTTTCCTGATGTCTTTAAAGGAGCACGCTGTACAAGCAGAGCAAGGAGAACTTCGAAGATGTTTGTACCAAGGAACTAGTCGGGGCCATTGTTATCACACGCTACAACAATCGCACTTACCGCATTGACGCCATTGAGTGGAAGAAGTCACCTAAGGACACTTTTACTCTGATGGATGGAACAAAAACCTCCTTCCTGGAATACTACAGGTGATACTCCTTTAAACTATTTACATCTTGAGTGGGTGGAAAATTTAGGTCTGATTTAAAAATCGACTAAGCTTGATAACATCTGATAAGTAACAAACGTCCTTCCTGCTATAACTTCATTGATATTTGTTGAATGTGTTTTATTTTGCAAAGTAAGAACTATGGGATCACAATCAAAGAGATGAACCAGCCTTTACTCCTGCATCGACCTAAGGAGAGGTCCAGGCCAGGAGGGAAGGCAAGTTCTCTTTTACTATTCTTGTTTGAAGGCTTGCATAAACATTAGCTATGAAATAAAGTCAATGCCTTTCATGTAGACCAGAGGTCATGGATTAGCGGACTGCGGTCTGGATCCGGACCCATGTTACTGGCTAATACGGACCCAACCTGATTTAAAGCATTTATAAATTACTGCATGTTGTCCAACGACACTAATTTCACTTGTGCAACTTTTCCTATTAATATGCTAAAGCCCCGTGGAGCGTCCGGCAGGACGTTCAGGTGTTTTATAAAATATGTGAATCAGGAAATTGTCTACCAACCTGAATAATTTTTGTTCTCTACTTCAAAAAGCACTTTAGATTTTGAAATGGAAATTTTATTTTTTTTATTCAATGACATGGATGCATAAAAACCTACTTTTATTTCAGTGTTAAATTCTGTTTAAAGTAACAGATTATAATTAAAAATGTCTCCAGATCTTTACTGGTTGATGATTTTTCTTTATTTGGACCCTGCTGATTTTTATTTGGTTACCACCAGTGTAGACTGATCTGTCCACATAGAGTTCTTCTTATCAGAGAATACTACCACCATCTGGTGGCTGCAGAGAGTGTTGCTCATTTCCATCAATTTTAATCTTTAATTGCCAAAGACGTATGTTTTTTTTTTTGTTTTTTTTTATCATTTTAGATAAATCTGCTCCATGGAATTGACATCAATCAATCATCAGTAAACCAGAATAATTAAACCTCTTATCTAAAGCAAATTAGAAGCTTTGCTTCTACAAGCTGACCTAAATAAATGACAGGACCACTTCTCAGAACAGTTCCCATCTTCTCAGACTCAAAAACAGAAACTTATTAGTAGCTGAGCATCCTGTTTCTCTTACACTCTTTATGTTGTACCTCTATTCCTTTTCCTGTAGCAAATCATCACTGGGGAGATCCTTTTGGTTCCGGAGCTCTCCTTCCTGACAGGAATCCCAGAAAAGATGAGGAAGGACTTCAAAGCCATGAAAGTAAGTTTAATGTTGTGGCCATTGCCCGATCAGCCTTTATTCTGCATTACCCCTGTGACCCAGTTTCATCAGAATGTTCCCTTAATTTGAAAAAAAAAATTTTGTTCTGGATTTTCTTTTGATCTGTATTTAATTCTGCGTTGTTTGGGATGATTTAAACAACTTGGACACAGCTATACATGGTAATGTTACAACATTAGACTTTTTATCTTTTTTTTTTTTATCTTTTTTTATCTTTTTATTTTGTTGCCCCTTAAAGAGAATGGTTTGTGGCGCGAAGCATACCTCAGGAAATTGGGAGCGAAAATAAAAACAAAATATCCAAAAAGAGTTGATGTTTTTTGTTATCATGAAATATAATATTTGTAATGAATATTATTAATTGTCGCTTATAATTAATACATCAAATTACATAAGAAAAGTTAATCCCACTTTGACAGAAAAGGCACTGAAATGCCTTTTATAATTTGCAATAACAGACTTGTCTAAACCTGGATTTTCTACTGAAGAGGATTAGGGCCACTGGAAAAAAAAAAAAAAAGTTAACTGATTTTTAAATTTTATTTAAGTTTAATATGAGAAAAAAGTCAGAATCCTGACTTTTTTTTCTCAGAATCCTGACTTTCTTTCTCAGAATCTGGACTTTTTTTCTCAGAATCCGGACTTTTTTTTCTCAGAATCCGGACTTTTTTTTCTCAGAATCCGGACTTTTTTTTCTCAGAATCCGGACTTTTTTTTCTCAGAATCCGGACTTTTTTTCCTCAGAATCCGGACTTTTTTTCCTCAGAATCCGGACTTTAATCTCAGAATCCTGACTCTCAAATTTTGTTTTTTTTCTCCATCAACAGTTCTTCTTAAAATGGACATTAACTAAATGACAAAAGTGGGAAAAACATTCTTGAAATTGATTTTGCGCTCCAGTTTTTATTAACTTTTAGTTTGCTAAAGGGGGTCCTCAGCAAGAAGGTAATGCCGTTTGGAGGATGGGATAGCAGCCAAGAAAAAGTTGGGAACCACTAGCTTTTTTTTTAAATTTATTTATTTTTTTTTTTTTTTGACCATTTGTCAAAACTGCAGACTACAGGTTTGAAGGCATGTTCCTGAAATTAGTAATCAAGCGCCTAATTTTTTTTATTTTTGATCAAATCAGCAACTTCCCATTGCTGTGTTTTCTAACTCTATAAATCATGATGCAGCAAAACTGCAAGAAAACCACAGTAAAGATGTATGTAAGGTTGTTATAGATTGTCAACTCGCTTCAAAGCTCCCTTCAAACTGTGAGCTGTTAAGGTTATCGTTACGAGTAATTGTCAAAATCCAGTCTCCTTCATTGGATTTTCAGCTGTTAAACATATTTCACATATTTCTCTCACTGAAAGTATTTGCAGGTTTTTTAAGTAGTACTTTTCCTGCTTTTTCTTTTAACTTTTACATATCAAAACTTATTGAATGAAAGGACCTTTTGTCTCTCATTTCTAAAAAAAACCTCTATGAAGCATTATAATTATTTCACTTTTTTTTTGTTTTTTAATGTGGGGTTGCTGTTAATACCAGAAACTACTTTTTTAAATTAAATATCCACTTATTTTAAGTTTGATAAATGAATTTCTTATACAAAGAGTTTAAGAGAATCAACAGAGTGAAGTTGAAGTGCTAAAATCAGCTTTAACGGCAGAAACTGTATAAAAACGAGAATGTTAGAGCTGTTAACATTTTTTGGCTAATTTTGGTGACTGTGTTGTTGTATTACAGGATCTAACCATGCACATCAATGTAAGCAGTGACCAGTACGCCAAAGCAATAGACAAACTTCTGAAGAACATCAACTCTAATGCTGAAAGTCTGAAGGAGCTCAGCCGATGGGGCCTGGAGATCTCCTCAGAAACCCTGATGGTAAGAATCTGTCACCTGAAAACCAAAAGTAATAAAAGGGAGGGTTAAGTTTAGCAAAGCTGACATCAAAAGTTTTATATTTTTTGAATAGTTTAAAAAGTGAAATGTATGTTTTGTGAACAGTGGTTATAGGGAATCCTTAATCCACGGATAAAGGTGAAATACTTACTGCCTAATGTCTGTTTCTTTAAGCTGAGAATATATTTTTTTTAATTGTTCAAATAATGGTACAAAATAAATGGTTCAGAGATGAGAGCACCAACCACTAGCACAGCTTGGTTCATCTGAAGAATGTGAGACCAAATCTGTTGATCCAGCCTCCTAATGTCAGCTGTAGCAGGTGCGTTAACACTGGTAGAGTGTAAAACCATCTATGACAGAGGACCCTGTTGGCCCCAGCTGGTGGTGTTTTCTTTTCAAATCTGACCTAAATATTTAATCAGCGTTGCCCTTGTTTACTCACCTAAAGACCAAGTGTTGCATGTAATGTTATTTTATGAATAGAATTGTGTGCTCAGCTGAGAGGGCTACTATTTCTGAAGGTCTTTGTAGAACCAAGCTGTTTTTCATGGCTGATCAAACTTTTTTTATATTGGCTCTGTCTGAATTCCTCAGCAGTACCTTCCACCTTTTTTGGTTTTCCCTTGAATTTCAAGTTGTGGGTGATGGTATCTGGTTATTTGTTTTCAATAGTTGCTAGAATACCCTGCTATTTTGCAAGTTCTCCTGCTTAGAATCATGGAATGGCCTAAAATTGTCACTGTAGATGCACATCCACTGTGAGAGACAAAATCTAAAAAAAATAAAAAAATCACAATGTATGAATTTTTTTCTTTTTAACTATATGATTGTATGATACAGCTGTAAAAAAGTATTTGAACTTCTGAGAAAATCAGTGTTAATATTTGGTACAGTAGCCTTTGTTTGCAATTGCAAAAGTCTTGACCCCTCAATGCTCTGAGGGAAGGAGGTTGTTCCCCAAAATCTGGAAATAAATTGCCCCGGTCATCCTCTCCTTAAGACTGTGCAGTGCCCTGTCTCGTATGCAGAAAAACGCCCCCAAAGCGTGATGCTACCATCCCCATGCTTGAAGGGGTTATTCATCAACCCCTTCAAGGCAGCCCCTTTGAAAAGAGAAACTTTGAAAATAGAAAGCTGGCTCTCTGGTTTGATGCAGAACTGCGCACTCTGAAAGTAATAATAGGAAACTGGAAAGAAAATGACACTACATGAATACGGGAATCCTACCTAGTCTGGAAATAAAGTTGTATCTGTTAGAATTATAAAGTGCCTTGAGAAATCATTTGCTGTGAATTGGCACTGTATAAATTAAATTAAATTTAATTTAATTGAATATACACAGCTGGGAATATTTGTCTCCAACATCTTTTAAATATTGTTCTTCAATCACTAATCATAAACTCCCAAAATATACTTTAGTTAGGTGGGATAGGTATTTTGATATTTAGCTTATAGATTTCAGTCTGCAGTCTGAATGTGTCCATAAATAGTTGCTGCAGTTTTGAAAAAATCTTTCATCTCTAATAACTATCATTAATGATAACGGTTTCTTTGAGTTTTCCATCCAATTTGATTGTTATTTATAGACTAAGGTTTCACTATAGATATTAATGTTCTACTTATAAATATGATTTTCTGATATTATACAGTTTATCTATCTTTTACAGATGGTTATAAAGAGATATTTTATATATAGATCATTGACTTTTTAGAATAACATGCCTACAAACCTCTGAAGTGTTTTAGTGGTTGTTTTATTCTATTTAATCCTTTTGTGCATTCGTTTTTAATTTTGGACCCCAGGGAGACGAATTGATTGCCATGGCATAGCTAATGGAATCCCTAATGAAATTACAAACTCCAGACGTGAGGAGCATAAAATCTGCTCCACAAATTCTCTCTGTCCCATATTTCTACTGTTTGATAATATCTGCTGCCCTCAAACAATCTTCCGTCATTATCATTTGATATTCAAATTACTATATTTACATTAGTGTGTTTGTGCTCTGAGAAGGTTGCAAGTACCCGGTTCGATCACCGCAGCCCCCACTCTTGGTTCCTGAGCAAAACCCGTAACCTCCACACTGCTCCCTGGGCGCCACGCAATGCCCACTGCTACTCTGCTTAAAATGCAGATTGTGAATTTCTCCATTGTGGGACAATAAAGGGATTTACATTATCGGTGCATTGGCAATGTTTAAAGCAGATGTAGTAATAGTTTTTTTTTTTTTTTTTTTTTTTTTTAAATGAAGGCTGCCATGCTATTCATACTTTACACATTTTATTGCTACCCTCAACATAACTGTGTGAGGGGGTTTTTGTGTTGTGTTCGGCACTCGCTACCAGTAATCATGATTAGGTTTGATTTGTACACCTGAATAATTAACAAACTGGAATTCTTGTGTAAACATTGGTGGCTTCTTAGATATTTTTTCCCCTCTGCTTCAGGTCCGTGGCAGAACTTTACCGTATGAAAGCATCTGTTTTCAGTCTTGCTCCTCTGCAACCGGAGCTGATGTTTCCTGGTCCAGAGAGATTGTGAGAGAGGCTTCCATTAGCTCCGTGAGTAATTTGAACTTTAATTTTGTGTTAAGGTGGTTCAAGTTTACTGTATTCTGCATTGAAGTTATTTATTGCTCACGGATTTCTGTTTCGCCAATAAACTGGGGCATATTTCTCGTACTGTAGATCCCTTTGAACATCTGGGCAGTCTTCTACCCCCATCGCTTTGCAGACCAAGTTGAAGAGCTGGTTTCCAACCTTAAAAAGGTAGCTGGGCCTATTGGGTTGCAGCTTGCACGTCCAATCAAAGTGGAGCTGCGGGATGACCGAACTGAGACATACGTCAAAAGTATCCACTCGCAGTACACCAGTGAGGTAAGGAATTTTTTTGTTCTTTTTTATTTATTTATTTTTTTTTAACAATTCATTTTTACAACAGTCAACTGCAATGGCACACACAACACTAACGGGGTCCTCAGTTCTGTTGTGGTTCCTCATCAAGAATTTATCTTCAGTTTTCCCAATTTTGATCAGTTTTCTAAGGGGGAAAAGTCAGTTTTTCCATGAGATGAAGTTAGTAATTTATTTCCATCAGTTTTGATTAGGGCTGCAACTAACGATTATTTTAAAAATCGATGAATCGGCCGATTATTTTTTCGATTAATCGATGAATCGGACAAAAAATATTTTTTTATATTAACCTCTTTATTCCAAAATAAACATTTTAGACAGAACAAACAAACACACAAGTACAGGTTGCTCATTAACTGTCCTGGTGCAATATCAAAAATAAATGTTTGTGTTAAAACATTTATTTTTGAAATTTAGCTGTACATCCACAAAATATAGGGTACTTTGTTTCATAAAGCTCAAAAAATGACATGCATTTTTGTTTTTAAAAGCCCCTAAGGGGTTCAAACAATAGGTCCCCCCCTTTTCACCAATTGGGTTTTTTTTAGACTAGAAGAGTTCTGCCTTTTAAGACAGGAAAGTATAGCAGTTAAAGTTGCTGCTTGAGAAAATACTGAACCATAGAGATAAAAATAGCCCTGTGATTCAAATTATAAATTGTATTTGGAATAAAAATGAGAGAACTAGGGGTGCTAAAAAACACATCCTCCAAAGACAGATATTTACATGGGAATGTGGCATATAATAATTACTCAGAACTCAGAACATCTGGATTCCAAGCGCAACGCCCTAGCCACCACATCCCCATTTAAAAAAAAAAAGTTTAAAAACAATCGACTGGACTTATTTTCAATTGAAAAAGCTTCCTGGATGGGAAGGGAAACATCTTCAAACTAGGAAAAATGTCAGAATTAGCATTGAGTACCAGGTTTTATAGAGCTGCCCAAACAAAGCCTTGTTTTGGCTTAGAAAACATGCAAATTGAACGGGGAAAAACAGTTCTGCCCGTTAGGTATGCTGAGTCGTTGAGGTCTGTTAGCCTTCAATACTCGATACTGGTCTATGCAACTGAAAGGGGCTAGTTGTTAGGGTTATATTTGGCCTGGCTGAGCATGCAAGTTATTTTGGTCCCCTGCATGGCCATAAGGATTATGATACCTGTGAGGAATCACTCAATTGCTGCGTTGTAGGTTTTTGAGAGCCAATCAGAAACCAGTGTTGTTTTTGAAAGTCATCTTAGATTTTGTCCTAGTTTTAGCCTTTAGGATGAAAACTATTATTAGTTTTAGTTGCGCTTTAGTATTTACGATATATGAATGTTTTAGTTAGTTGAATGAAACTCAAAAAGGTTTAGTTTTTTTTTCTTCTAGTTTTAGTCAAGTTTTATGTTGCACAACAAAAAACTGCTAACCTTTACAATTTCGAATAATAACCAGATTCTATACCATACTGTAAGCTCTTGCCTAAATAATACAATTGTTGGACATTCAATGCTGCCATCTTTAAATGTTTGATTTTGTTTGCCAAGTCTTTGGCCTTTTCTATGTGATGTGATGTGTTTCCCACCAGGAGGGCTGAAATAGTAAGCTTTTTAGCATGTTGTATGTTATGGAGTCATTGCTGCAGACAATAGGTCTAAGTCAGGGGTCGGCAACCCACGGCTCCGGAGCCGCGTGCGGCTCTTTAGCATTCCCCTTGCGGCTCCCTGGAGCTTTTTTAAAAATTTCTGAAAATCGATATATATTTTTTTTTCTTTTCTTTTAATATGGTGTGCAGGAGGTCAAACAAAAAATAATTATGTTTTCCAATGCTGTAAACATTTGTATAATAAATAAATTTAAACAATAGTTTGCATCATAGCCATAGAGATCAGTGGTCAAAACTTGCAACCAGCGTGACGCGGTGCCAGGCAAACATAGCTGCAGGGGTGTCTTGGACCATGGATCCCAAAGGGGAAAAAAGGAAGATAGCTGATGAGAAAAGAGGATTCAAAGGATGGACCGAATCATTTTCTTTCATTATCAATGCGGAAGGATTGATAATGCGGAAGAAAAAATAAAAATAAAAAATTTGAAAGGCATTTCCAGGGAAGGTAAGCTAAATATGCAGCCAACAACCAAGCTGGGAGGGAGAGAAAAATGGTGATTGCAGAACTTCTGGATAAATTAGAGGAGAGCAAATTTGGATTTAAGAAGTGGATTGCATCTCCAAACTCCACTATTGCTGCTAGTTTTGTTGCAAGGATGGAAAACCGTCCGCAGATCGAACAGGTAGAGTTCTAATGCAGGAATTGGAACTTTCTTCCAATTTTTTCCTCAAATCCTAAAAATATAAATCACAACAAGGAATGATGGTGACGGAGGATGTGGAATTTCAGGGTTAGAGAGCTCTGCTCTGATGGATGTCAGTTCCTGCTGGTTCCTCATGACTCAATGAACTCCTCCCAACAGAAACACATCCACCATAAAGGGATTCCTTGATCCTGTTTCTATAATTTCATCAATGCAACAAAACTTAAACCGCGCGGTGAGGGGGGTTAAGCGCGCGATGGGAGCGTTCACTGCTTGTCCCTCACCTCATATTGCTATGTGACATTTGCTCCGGGATAAAGATTTAATCATGAATGCTTACTATATATTTAAGCCCACATAGTCATTTTCTATAGTGGGATAATACACTTAGAGCCCGTGTTTCCATACGAGGCATGTATAAGACTTTTACATTTTTGCGGCTCTAGACAGATTTATTTTTTGTTTTTTTTTGGTCCAATATGGCTCTTTGAGCAGTTTGGATTGCCGACCCCTGGTCTAAGTGGTGTTCCTTCCTTGTGGATTTTTGAGAGTCGATATAGGCATGGAATGTTATCCCTTTGATATAATCTAAAATAAACTGTACGGTTAATATAATCTAAAATAAACTGTACGGTTAATTATCTTATCTTTTTTTAGTTGTTTGAGGTATTCTGTAATTTCCTTTTTGTAAGCATTTGGATCTCTTTTCCAAGTTCATATGTGTTGGTGTCACTCAAAATGAGAATTTTGTCCTTGTAGTCCAAGGACACGGTGCATCTTCCTTTGTCTGCTGGTAATATGGTGATGCTTCGTCCTGGCTAAGAGATGTTATGGCTTTCCTTTCCTGTGATGTGAGATTGGAAGGAGGTGGGTTGGCGCTAGACAGGGTAACTGTTACTTTTAACCTGAGTTGCTCTGCCTCTGTTTCAGCCAGGTTGTTATTCCTGATGGCAGAATCAGATGCAGTGATTAGCTCCACAATGGGCATTTCTTGTAGAGAATTTTTTAAACTTAGGTCTTTACTCAGAACATCCATCTCTGGCTTTGTGAGAGGTGTGTTAGACAGGTTTTTAACCCACTTGTCCTGGATATCGATGTTGGTGGCTTCCTCCTGTGGTATGTTGGTATCTTGTTTAAATGCTGCATTCTGTTGTAATTTATTGAATTTAGCTTATTGCCTTTCTTTTTTCTGGTGCTGTGAAAGCAGGACCTTTTCAACAAACCTGAAAACTTCTTCAAAGTTTGAGGGAGAAGGTTGGAAATATTCTACCTTGTCTGATCTATTTTGTGAGAGAGATCTTAACTTATGAAGTGAGACTGTTTTATCCTCTCACTAAGCTGCTTGTTGTGTGCATTCCTAACTTCTGCCCTGTGTCCTTTGATAGTAGCGTTCAGTCTTAAGCTGTTAGAAACGAGTCTTTGCTGTCTACATCTCAAATTGAAACAAAGGTGGTTCCTATAATCTGCAAGTTTCCTAAGCAATTTCTCATACGAGCGCATTATTACGAGGGTGTCTTCCCCTCTGTAAGAATAAAGAGGGTTTTGTTTTTTATGTGAAAACATTTTTTTCAAGTCTCAAATTGCATGTTTTTTTTAATTTTGTCTCATATCTGTGTTTAGCCCAAGTTGCAGCTCGTTGTCTGCATCATGGCTGGCAACAGGGATGACCTCTATAGTGCCATCAAGAAAGTGTGCTGTGTTAAAAGCCCCATTCCTTCCCAGGTCTGTGCTGTTTTTGTTTTTACTTTATCCGCAGATTTATAAGTAACAACCTCATCTTGAAATTGTGAACCCGGTAAAAAGTTGTATGAAGTTATAGATTCCAGAAATTATGTAAAATCTTCTCCCCAGGTCATTAATATCCGGACGATATCGCAACAGCAGAGGCTGAGGAGTATCGCTCAGAAGATTCTCCTCCAGGTGAACAGCAAGATGGGAGGAGAACTATGGACGGTTAACGTTCCTTTGGTGGGTATCATGTCTCTGAAAAGCAAAACAGCCGAAGTTAACTGATTAGATTTAAAGTCATAGGGACGTCATATTTAAATGTCAAATCATTCCTGCTTAATAATGTATATAAATGTACTCTTTCTCAGACAATATTGTCCCAAAAGAAAATTTCTTCTTTAAAAATACCTGTCTTAAAATCTGTTGGGGGGGAGGGGGTTCCCCTTATCTTTAGTTAGTAATACGTCAGCTTGTACATCTAAATTCGTGGGGCATCTGACAAACTGCATAAATGTTGAAGTTAAATCAGAGTGTCAACTGTTGTTGAAAAAGGTGTTGCTACAAATGCATGCTGTTATGCTTTTTGTTGCAGATGTCTAGTTTTACTGTGTTTTCTCTCCTGAAACAGAAAAACTTGATGATAGTGGGGGTTGATGTCCATCACGACACTAGCAAATCACACCAGTCAGTCATGGGATTTGTTGCTAGTGTGAACAGGTAAAGTTGTAAAGGATTTTAGTTAAACTCTTAATTTAAAATTTTATTTGAAAATGTATCAATCAGTCTAAATATGTCTTCTTTTTTTTTTCTTGGTAGTTCTCTGACTCGATGGTACTCTAGAGTTAGCTTCCAAGCGCCCTCCCAGGAACTGATCCATGGCTTTACAGTCTGTCTGGTGGCTGCTCTGCAGAGATACCACGAGGTAACATTCTGCATGTGTGTTTTACAGCTCAGGCTACAAATGTCAGATTATAGTCCAGATGTAAATAAGTAAGACTACTATGCAGACCTTTACTGGCTATCAGTTTGGCTTGTAAAATTTTTTTAATTTTTTTTACATCTTAGCATACATAATTCAAACCAGATGAATGAATGGAAGCTGTAACATCCAGAAAGACAAAGTGTATAACAGCAAGCCTGGTGTTTGAGATTAAATAAAATAAGTTTATTTTGTTGTTTTTCTTCCAAATTATGTTTCAATTCGGTTTATTTATATAGTACCAATTCACAACACGTCATCTCAAGGCACCTTCCAGTTCACCAGATCATTCAGTCAAATTGATTCAAAGTCTTCTTGCTCAGGAAAACCAGTTGATTGCATCGACTCATTGACTCGAACACAATCCTTCACAACAAGCATGCTTGT